ATACGTCACCTTGCAACACCGCGACCATTCTGCAACCCGATCGCAAAACAAGACGCATCCTGGTCTGTCCTATCACTGTGAGATCTTAAAAGCGCGCTGCCCTGCATTTTTTTTCGGCGGCTTGTCGTCGTCCTGCATCTCTCTTGTCGCATCGCACCTGCTTCGTTACACGGCATTAACCGACCGTGGTTCAGCTGACAGCTCGACCAAAGCAAACACCTCTTCTCTCGAAGCACTTTTGCGATCCTGCCAACTGCCATCATGTCGTTCTCCGGACTATCCTTCATCTTTTGGCGCGTCTTCCAGATCATCACCTTGATCCCGTGCCTGGGCATGCTCGCCTGGTTCGTCGACTGGTACAACAGCCGCGGCCTCCTCACACCAACGTCAATCCTCGTCCTGTTCATCGTATCGGTGCTCGGCGCAGCATGGGCTATAGGCACCCTCTTCCTCTACACGCGCGCGAAGCACTCTGCCAAATTCGTGGCTTTCATCGACCTTCTTTTCATGGGTGCCTTTATCGGAGCCGTCTATGCTCTCCGAGGGATTGCTGATGCTGATTGCTCCAACTGGGAAAGGAATGGTTCCTACAGCGCTGATCTTGGTTTATTCACTGTCAGTGGAGACAGGTGGGGGTTCAACATCGACCGCCAATGCGCCATGCTCAAGGCTTCATGGGCTTTCGGAATCATGTAAGTTCAATTTCAGAAAAGGTTGGAAGCAAACACGAATCTAATACTGTGCAGGAACATCATTTTCTTCTTCATCACTGCCATATTGGCTCTACTTGTGCACCGTCACCACCGTAATGACCGAGTCGTTGTGAAGCGCGAAGTCCACCGCTCCCGTCACGGCCACCGCTCTCGCAGCCCTCGCTACTCGCACCAGAGCCACAGTCGGAGCCGACGCAGCTATGTCTAAGCTAATGGGACATGTCAAATAATGACAGGGTATTCGGGGTATCGGAGTTGGGTTTGGAGCATCTGGCACTGGCTATGGTCAGAATTACGAATTTCTTTGGACATATTCCCCCTTGCGCCAATATTTGAAAGTATTGGCGTGTGTATTGAGATGATATGGAAGCGAAATGGTTACGACATTGGTATGAGAATACATCCCTGGACCACGGGAATTAGAACGACTCTGTAGATAATTGCTTTATGAGAACTATGGTCGCGAGCAAGTCTACACTCTAAGCAACGTGACAGAACACGTCAACAACAACAATAATGTATTGCTGCCCGAGTGTGGTAATGCTGTCTTAGTGGACAGGCTGTCCATGTTGCGAAGTTTTTTTGAACCAGGATATTCGCTGTACACGACTGGTAACGTTAACTCGGATCCACTTGGATTTTGCACCCCTCCAGTCCAACCTCTGTACCAGTGCACCGACGTGTTCGACCAAGTTTCTTCGCTGATAGACTCAGGGTCTAGGATCGTGCAGAGGTCAAGTCAAAATTGGTTGTGACTGGGGTTGATATTCTACAGTTGCGTATGGCGCGTTACTCCTATGCAAGCTCCATTGATGCAATTCCGCTCCATCATGATACTGGTACAATAATGTCATACAGTCCATAGCCATATATGCAGCCTTCTTCCACTACCACACTCTGCAAAGCGCCATACCACCCAACTGTCGCTCCACACATTCTCTTGCCTCGAGTATTCCTCGGTCTGTTGTAAGGAACATGCATTCTCCGGGATGCGTCAGTCCCTTTACGTAGCTCGATTCGCGTGTCCTCGTGATCTTGCCCAAATCCTCGCTCGTCAGCCATATCCGCCGTGTGGGCTTGGAAACTAGCTTCATGTTCTTCAATACGGGCTCGTTTTGCCAGTACTTTAGGCCAAGCCATAACCGTCTCCGCGCCGGGTTCTGAGGTACATGTATATCGTGGACCTGCTCTTGACCTAGTGGTGCCTTCTCTCCAGTGCCTGCTGGTGCATCAATGGGGTATGCAAGCCATGGCTCCTCCTTCAGCTTCTGTGCCATCATGTCTAGTTGCTCGGGATCTTGCTGTGTCTGGAGGAGAAAGGGCTTTGGTGGTGTTGGCCCGCCGAGTGTGACTGAAGAGAGGAAGCCTTCGCGTTGCAGACCTAGCGCAATGTTGACGTGCATCTTGGAGACTGGTATTGATGTCAATCCAAGGCGAGCTTTGGAGGCGTTCTGCATGTGCGAGCAGACATGTGCGAGGTTGACGAGAGACATATTGGCTGCAGTGGTGGTGGGAATTTGCCCTCGACGGGCTGCGGCAGCAGGCGGGCGCGATGGCCGATGTGATGATGAGAGCGACCGTGTATCTGGTAGCGAGTATCAACGGTGAGGCTCGATGCAGCCTCCAGGTACGATTGCGCGTGGTGTCGTCGGCGGATGCTCTACGCAGCAAATTTCTGGATTGGCTCGGAGGTCCGCAAGTCACGAGTGGATCGCTGCTGCCCGCTCCATTCGGCAGAGCTTGGACCGGCGCCTACTAAAGTCGACACTAATGGGCGGGCGCTTCGAGGACGACACAAATAGAAGACCGCGCAGCTGTTGGTCGGAGCTGTCGTCGGCTTATATGACAGCCTTGCGACCCTATATATGCCTTTGATCTCTCCTGATGATTCTCCAAGAGTACTAACTGTTCGTCTTACTACTTCTCTACAGCGTCTCCACATCCTGGGACATCTTGGGCTGTCAGACATCTTGGACGCCCGATAGACCATCATCGTACACTAACACAATGCCTCCACAGCAGGGCGAAGTGTCCCTCTTGACGCTGTAAGTAGTAAGAGATGCTTGGGCCTCGAAGCTGTACTGACATTTAGATAGCTTTGCAGACGTCCATTACTACATCTCCCCACCTACCCAGCAACCCCCACATCATCGCTTCGACAAAGGCTCCTATGTCTACCTTTACCACAATCCCATGCGCCAGAGTGGGCGCATAGAAGTAGCGAACCATGCGGGCACACCCAACCAGGATGCCTTTGCCGGTCAGCTGGACACCATCAAGATTGAGCAAACATACAAGCACCCGTGCTTGTTCACCCTCACGGTCGATGCCTTCCAGAGTCACACCGGCAACGCGAGTCCGCATCATGACACGTCACAGTGGCACCTTCCCACACCCGATCCCTCGAACCAGGGCAAATACATGTACAGGCTGCACACGGTAGATTTGTATTTTTGGACACCAGAGGATGCGAGCCTCTTTCTTGACTCTATTCGGAGAGTGCTACAACCGCACCAACTGCAGATTACGCGCAACCCCAATGCCACCCCAACGCACTCGGAACACAAGAACGATGCCCTGAGTCCTGTCATCGCGAGGCTGGAGAGTGCAGCCATATCACACACTAGTCGGACTCCGAGTGTCAGTACAACGCAGTCATTCCCTGGCCCTCCTACCGCACCCGCACCAACATCACCCCCTCCCAGCGAGCAGCCGCCCAACTACGCTCCAATGGCATACAACCCGGCAGCTCCAGCCGCGCCAGAGCCTATCGCGCATCGTGAAAAGACACCACCACCGCCAGACGCAAACGACGGCACTGGTCTTGGGTCTGCTGCTGTACACGATCAGCATGCCGCACAATACAGCAACCCACTACAAGCTTCATTTGCGCCCCAGCCGACATCAGGATCGTACTTTCCAGGACCACCAGCGCCAGGCCAGGGCTTTACTGGTCCACCGAGTGTGCACCGTACAAACACGGCGGGGTCAGTGCCGAGTGCACCACAAAGTCCGCCGTCGTTTGCACCACCCCCATCTGCGCCTCCACCAGGCCAATACAATGGCCATACCCCACCACCTCCCGCCATGAAGCGAACATCCACCATGCCAGTTCAGCAGTACGCCAACTACCCGAACTCGCCCGGATTTCCGCCTGCCCCCCAATCGCCGCCTGCGCATTCTGCTGTACCGTCTCCTGGATTTCCTCCTCAGCAATATCAACCAATGGCATCCCCGGGCTATGCACAATATCAGTATGGTAGCACAACAGCTCAGCCTCAAGGACAAAATTTGCATCAACAACTTTACAGACCAACGGAGACTGAAGCCGCGGTGCAAGATCACGAGAATCCCAACGCGCCGCAACGCAACTCGAACATCGGAAAACGGGTAGATAAAGTGGAGAAGGGTATTGGCAGTTTCTTGAAAAAGCTGGATAAGAAGTTCTAGTATAGTGTCAGTGCGCCAGTTCTTGTATCTAACTTGAGTTTTGCCAGCCAGCGTAGTCATTGACGACTTTGGAGATCGAAGCATATACCCTTTTGAATAATTTACGGCCACTATTACGACCAGCGTCGCCTGTGCCACTCTTGTAGATCAAGCATGTGAATGCGATCATTATGCAGTACGAGCTCCAATCAGTGCCCGGCGCTAGCGTATCCTTGAATCTGGGAGAGACCCTAAAATAGTAGCAGGTTTCTGGAGATGACATGAGCTCTTGCTTTTGCCTCAACCGCTGTGAGGAGCCTAGCGGCCATGGTACAAAACCGTTGGGAGATCGCTAGAGGCTCAATTATTGCAGTGTTGCCGTGCTACACTTTACTGTAGATTTAATGTCTATTTGCGCTCGCAGCCGCCGCCTCCCCAGCCACAGAGCCCCTGGTCACTGCTCCCCATCATCCCAGCATCCGCATTAACCCTCAGCTGCCAAGGCAAGCATCCGGGCGCAGGCCTAGCCAGAACATCACTCGCGGCTTTCCCCCCATTGTTGTTAGTCGTCTAGTTATTCCCAGACTATATACCTGACACCGATCCCCAATATCCTAACCACATCTACGACTCGCTCACCGCCGCTGCCGCTGCCGCCGCCGCCTGCTTAGACGTTTCGACGCAACGGTTCGACAGCTCCTAGTGCGAAACAGTAACCAAGAACGCGGGCCTTCCGAAGCTTGGGCGATCCACCTTTGTCCAAACAAGTGATCTCATTGTGAAAACAAGGCTTCGGCAACATCCTTTGGTTGAAGCATTTGACGTTTGACATAACTGGTGTATGGTTGTTTTGGTATCATGTTGTTACCTGCGCGGCATGCAAGGGAAGGCGCGTTGGAGCGGAGAGAGATCTCCAAGCAAGGCAGGACCTTTGTTGTTGTAAGTTCTCCGCGTGCAACCTTTCCGTGTTACCCTGGAGCCCTGACTGACCCTGATTGCCTAGGTCGGAGTCATCGCCGTTGCCATCTTGGTTATACTCATCATCACATACTTCTCGACCCTCAAGTTCCGAGCACCATACCGCGCCGCAAAGAAAGCACAACAGTCGTCCAACGACAAACTACCTTCGTTATTCTCCTGGAAAGCGTTCCGCAAGCGCCCACGCCGAAATGACTACTCGACGAGTCTACAAGACACGGAATACCGGGGCAGTACAAGTAGGGCAAGTGGTGAGATGAGCGGAGCTGCGGCTGGGGATCCTGAGAGGCAGATGAACAGCACCACGGCAGCTGGGGTTGACAGGAACACGTCGATTCGCAGTGTTATGACGCTGCCCGCCTACTCCTCCGCCGCACGAGAGAACGAGAGGGTATTGGCTCGCGAGGGTGAGCGCGCGGGCGTCGACACGGTCGTTGAGCTCCCAGAGACACTAGACGAGGAAGAGAGACAACGAGAAGAGGAGATGGAATCCCTATACCAAATACGACTGGCACGACGTATCGAAGCAACGGATCGAGAAGCACGCCGGCAAGCGCGAAGAGAGGCACGCGCTCGTGGAGACGTCCAAGCACTCGCAGATATCCGACGAAGGGCCGAAGAAGCTGCAGACCTCTCTGTATCACAAATGCTCATCGCTGAGCACCAAGCCAGAAATCGAAGCCGCGAACAGCGGGTATCTGCCGTAGCCTACGGCGACCTCGGTGTTGCAAGGCACGACGGCACTCGACTAAGGGCCAATTCTTCCGAAAGCGATAACCGACCCCTCTTAGATTCTGCGGCGTCATTCTCTGGTCAAAGCCGTGGCCGCGACGCACACGCACGCGGTCTTTCCGTTACCTCTCTCGCACAATCAGTTGATTCACACGCATCCGACGACTACGACTTTGCAGATGCCTCGCGCTCAAACTCGCACTCAACCGGCCCCAACAGCGAAGGCTTTGAGGTCGTGCCGCTGAACCCAGAAAGGAGTCATAGTGGAAGCGGCGGACCGTCGCCAGAGATACCGCGAGAAGATGCGCCCGCATACGAAGATCCGCCCAACTACGAAAGCCCCATCAACACCAGGGCGCCACAATTGCCAGCACTGAATCTGGATCTCGAAAGACTACCTAGCATCCAAGTCACAACGGAACCGACTCCTGTAGAAGGTCGAGCACCATCATCCCTTACATAAACTTCTCGCATAATATCGCATTTCCAGCCTCGTGCTATTGTACACATTTGGGTATAGCCATTTCGAGCCATTTCGAAACAGCATTCATTGTTACTCGTCAACGATCTCACGAAGTCACCGCTGTTTGAACAGCGAGTTGTTGTTCGCACTATTGCATTTCCTCGGTTATTATGGCGTGGCGCGATAGGCGCACTAGAGGGAGCATATGTACACATAGGTATTGCTCAGACCTTGAATGTCCCATCCCATTCTCTCACCTATATTTGTGTGATTGCTTTACATGTGCCAAGCTATTATCGTGTAGGCAGCAATAGTGTACTAGCACTTGTTCTTTGCATAGCACAGAAGATCCAGTGTTTCAACTTCCATGTAGGACAGTCAACACCTGAGAAGCCGATCCATATATATATATATATATTGAGATCATCCTGGACAGACATTGCAAGCCCCTTCAAACCTGCAGCACCTTGCCCTCACTAAATGTGCATCTCATATGGACATGATCATGATACCACCGATGTACTGGACTTTGGAGATCAGTACCGCACAACTCCGGTTATCCTCGAAGGGTACCGTAATCGCCTATCCACTTCCTATGCCCGTACAAGTTACCTTTCGCCCACGATATTTCGCCGCAGCCTTCACTGCCAACTTCACGCTTGCAGGGATGTTGAAAGTGTTGACTCAACAGCGATCTACGAATCACTCGTTTATATGGCAATTTTTGTGTTCAGTAAGTGGCTTATATTCGATGCTGGACGTGTTGTTGTGACTGAAACCTGCTATTCGCGAGTTGCTATAGTAAACCCAAAATCATCCTCTACCTTTTCCGTTGATTCCCCTTGCCCAAGATCCTTCCCAAATCATCTGGAGAATCAAAATTCGAAAGGCTCTTCGAACCATCCGCTAGCACCGGGCCTTCTTCACTAGTGTGATCGAGAATCTCCAATATAATTAATGCTCGAACCTTCTTTGATTGCAAGGTGCATGCATACTAGACAATCCAACCAACTCAGCAAGATAAGTAGAACAAGATAATACTAATAACAGTATCAAGCCGAAGCTCAAACATATAGCTAGTACAATCGAGAACTAAGAAGAACTGAAGGTGAAGTGATCCAGCGAAGGATAGAAAGGTGAAGGTGACAAAAACGATCCATCGTAAAACCACGAGAAGCCGTAAGAGATAAAGAGAAGAGAGAGGGGGTGAAACAGATGTCCTATCCTCGGCTTCGTGGAAAAAGTGCCTCCCAGTTTGTGCCACCTAGCCTTCCATGAAGTCAATTGCAAAACGCCACAATATCGCTAAGCGCCAGAAGAAAGAGAAGAGTTTTACCAAAGGGACAGGCAAGATCGAAGCAGTATCAGATGCCCTCAATAGATTATCTAGCGCTTCAATGGCCAGAGTCGCTTACACGTCTTCTCCGCCCACGGCTACCACCTTCGGGTCGCTGAGCAAGGACGTCTCGGAGTTGAGGGTCATCTTTGTCCTTATCAGTGTGATGAACACGTACGTGTCTACAGCTTCTATTAGCTTGGCTCAAATTGAGTTTCTTCAGGAGTGTACACACCTTTGCAGGTTGTCTGGCCTCGGATACTTGTGCTCGCGGTCTGGACAAAACGGGCATACGTATCCAGGTGACTGATGCACAAGCCCATGTCGTATCATTTCATTCTTGCGTTTGAAACCTTTGCCACCTTCGCCTCGTGGACAGTCTTTGACTGGACAGTAATGTGGTCTATTTGACGAATGCACGTTGGTGTGCGAGCTGCATAAGTCAGCACCTAGAATTTTGGCAACGTTGACCTGAAGAGCGAGACAACTTACTTGAGAAGATATTGCGTCTGGAAAGGTGCAGCAGTGCAGCCTGGATAGTCGCACTTGAAACATCCAACGATATGTGGGGTTGATTGCTGCTGTAACCCAGAGTTCAATGGAGGTGGAAGCACTCTCGACGCGAGCGCACCATCTAAACTCATATGCCTTTGCCTTGGTTCGATGGGCGTTGGCTGTGTACCAGGACTGAGGCCATCCGAGCTCTGATAACTGTCACTGGTGGATGTGGAGTGCAATGTGGCTGTGTAAGGACTGTTGTCTGATGCTGCATGTGATGGTCTCCGAGCATCTGTGCCAAATGCACCTCCCCCTGAGGTGCGTAGAAACAGATCACCTCGGTGTGGTATCTCATGAGCACTCATGGGCGAAGAGGCACTTAGTGGGGGAAATGGCGTTGTCGGAGAGTGAGAGCTAATGGACAGAGCACGCACTATCGATGTTGGCGATTGTCCTACTGAAGATACGGATTGTCTATGTGGGAAGCTGATGCTGTTGGATCTGGTTGCTTCGTGATCACTCGTTGCAGACCTCGCTATATCGTCCATATGTCGGAATGAGGGTAGTTGCTGACTGGGCGAGCCTGCTGCTGCATCACGCGCAGGAGATGGCGCCTGTAATGCTGGTAGGGTATCTGCGGAAAGTCCCCCTCGTTGCGGAATGGTTAATTGCCGTAGACCAGGAGATGTTGCTGAGTCATGCTCCTGGGAGAGACTGTTTGGCAACTGATTTGGTGGCTGCAATGACACGTTGGACAATGCGGTTGAGATGGATGGCGTTCTATTTGTTCCGTTTATGTTAGATCGTACACCATTCGGTGCTGTGTGGACTGCAGATGGTTGAGAGGTGCGCCTGTCTGCTGCCGCAAAGCCAAAAGGTCTAATGACTTCGTCTTCGATCACGGAGTCTCTGTGGGTAGCTGTCGCTTTCGGATCAGGTGCTGAGGCAAGTACTTCTAGCAAAGTAGGTTGCTGGTTGGCAGGACGAGTAGTCGACGGCACTGACTGACCATGATTAAGAGGAGACTGGGCAGTTGCCGTGTTGGAGGTTTCAGCATCTAGCATCTCGTCGTCCCCAGAGCCAGGTCCTTGATCAGATTCAGAGTCAGAGTTCAGGGCCTGCTCGCTTGCTTTTTGGGCAATATCTGGGCGATTAGGATCCATTTCACGAATGAGCACCCAGTCTCCTTGGGTCGGCCGGGTTCGGATCTTGCGAGAATTAGATTTTTTTCGGTTGCGGGATCGAGATGGACTGACACTCTGGCGAATGAGTTGATGGCGGACGACTGTCGTTATCTGGGGTGGTGGGGTCGGAGATGGTGTTGCCTTTACAAATCTGGCTTTCAAGAGGGGTGATTTTGGAAGGAATTCGTCGTCCTGGTAGTATTCCACGGATTGGATGGCGTCGAGCATTTGGACAGCGGGTTCCGCGGGTTAGGAAGATGGTTATCGAGATGATGGAACAGAGGGATAATTATCCCAGCGAGCGCTCAGCGAATGCCCCTAGAGAAAGACCCAGGCGGCGATGAAGAGAGCGTGTGGCACAGCAAGACCAGTCTTGAATAGCTGTCTGGAGGAGAGTCAGCAGGGCCATGGGCTGCATTCTTCTCGCGACGATGGAAGAAGAAGGGTCCAGAGCAGCAAGTCTGGCGGAATGGATACGATAAACAGAGATGAGAAAAGCGAGGTGCCGTCGGAAGCGTGCCAGGCTAGAGACGCTCGGATCGAGCGAATGGGGCAAAGCAGGGGTGACTATGTGGAAAAGACGGGTTGTTGGTCATCGGAACTGAAATATAGCGAACAGTATCATGAATCGCGAAATATATGTGGAGATATGATGCAAAGTAAAGACGCCAACGTTGAAGCGGCTCTGCGCGGTGAAAACATACCCGAGGGTGCCAGTGCGACGGCTCTTTTTCAGCCTCAAGGCGGTGTCGAAGGGCTCTGCCGATCGCAAACATCAACTCGCGCAGGCTGCGATGGGGCAGGCGTTTGTTCACGGATGGCATAGATGATGGTAACAGTGTGCGAGCCTTGTCTGCCCTTACGGCATGCAGGAAACGGATAGCTCTTGAAGGGGGGGAGACTGCGGCGGGTGAGGAGGCTGACTTGCGGGGGTTGTTGACTGGACGGCCCTGTCTGCGGACGCTGGAACAGGCGGAAGGCGGGTTAGGTCAGCGGTGCAAGATACAACAAGCAATTGGGCAGCAGGGCAGCGAGGGTGAAGGACAGCGCGTGCAAGTTGGATGCTCTGCAACGACGATGGATCTAGACGGAATCATGACCGTCGCGCCAGTCGCCCTTCTTTGGCTCCTGCGAGGCGCAGCCCCAGCTTACCACCAGCGCGAGCGAGGCTCTAATCCAATCCAGTTTTTATGAGGCTCCCACCGAAGTTTCCATCCCCGCACAGATAGCCGCTAGCTGCTCTTGGACCCCACATGCACTTCTAGCTACTCCACGGGGGACCGAGCCCAGCCCCGCCTCTTTCACGCCCAAAAGCCTCCATCGGCCCTATTGTGACTTTTGCTCTTTAGTCCGTCTCCTAGACTTCCTGAACTATCCTTCGGCAAGCTTCGTGCTAATTCTCTCTCTCACGGCCAAATTTGTCAGATTGGCTATTCGCGGAAACTCATGCGGCGTGGTGCCATGTTGCCCTGCTGCGGCTTGCTGTTCGCTTGACACGCCGCACCTGGATTGAGCTACCCTCTATATTAACTGCCCAGTCTGAACGCCAGACTATGCCAGAAATCCTCCTATTCTATCTACCCGGACACCTGTCGACTACATGTGCATGCGTGGCCGACTACAGCATGCAGTCCACATCTGTCTTCCCCTCTCCTCCCGCTGTCAAATGCAACCGCCCTATCGTACAGTCTTGTGCTGCATGCTCTCTTGTCTATTATTGTGCCGCTCAGAAATGCTCCAACAGAATTGTGACAGACACGCCTACCCCCACAGTCACTGCCAACTAGCGAGTAAAAACATGCTCCTTGGTAGATCAACGCCCCAAAACAACTCGTGGCTGATAAAGCTGTTGTTGGCGCCAGAAACGGTATCCCGCCCATAAATTGGCCAATCCCATTTTATCCCTCACCCGTAATAACGCACATCGGCTAAGCACCTGCATTGATTCTATCACGCTTCCGGCTTCTTGCCGAATCCGGGAATCCCACTGAACTTGCTGCCGGCGGGCAACTTGGGTCGGCCAAAGTTCTCGTCCAGGTCGAGGATTACCTTGAGCGCGTTGCGGCTGCGCAGGTACGGCAACGGCGCCGTCGCTTCCTCAAGCCCGACTGATGGCTCCAGACTTGCCGAATCATGGCTAGATCCTGGCATCGGCAGAGCTGTAGATATGTTAGTCGGCCATGTGCGCAACAAGGTGTCATGCAAAACTTACCTCGCTGTAAAACTTCATAACCAGCCAGCGTGAAACCGAATTGTGGAGACGATCGCATGATACGGGCAGGCCCGCCCTTGAAGAACGCCTTGAAACCTTCTTCCTTGAAGATGGTTGTCGCCGCATGACGAAGACCAGTGTATGCCACTTCGCCCTTTCGTGCCTCTACCTGTAACCTGGTCTTGATAACGTCGCACGGTGTGGTCAAGTACGCTGCAGGCATACCAGCGATGGCACCAGCGCTCAGCATTTGTAGTACGCCTAGTGACTTTTGTGGACTCTCGCCGAAGAAATCTCTCTTCAGATGGCTGTAGGTAGGGAAGTAGATGGCGGAGAAGGGAACTGATGGACGGGTCAGCGACATCGAGATGCAATAGCAAGCAACACGTACCGTCACGCAAAAGACATGCGCTAGCACCCTTGTAGAGACCAACGAGACCCAAGTTGCGGACGATCCACATGGCGGACCGCCTAGGAACACCCTCAACGTTCTTGGAAAGTTCACCCTGGATCTGTAACCGAATCTTGACAATCTCGAGAGGGTTTGTGAAGACCTGAACATGGCGTGTTAGCAATCGTTGTTACTTGAAATGATCAAGACAGGGGACAACGTACAACTTGGCAGGCACCAGCAGTACCACCAGCCAGCATCTCAGCGGGAAACTTGATCTGGCCTGTTGCCTTGTCTGTCATCTTTCCACGAACGAGGTCGTTGACTGTGAGCTTGATAGCTTTCTCCGGTGCTACACCAACAAGCTGAGGCAGGACGCCAGAGTAGAGTCCCTTGAAACCCTCATTCTTAATGACCTTCTTTGCACAGTCGAGCGAGTTCTTGTAGAGGACATGTCCAACACCTGAACTTCTCTGGTTCTGCATTCTCGTCTTGACCAAATCAATAGGGTAGACCATAAAGGCACCAAACGCACCAGCCAGCGAACCGAGGGCGAAGTGGTGGATCGACTCAAGAATGTCGTGCCATATAGACTTTGTGGTCGCAAAGACCTTTTGGCCAGCTTCGGATATGCCGGCGGCCGCCAAAGATCCTGCAGTGTGCCACGATGGATCGAGGACGCGGGCAAAGTCTCGCAGACCAAGGCGTCCGGAAGCCTCATCCAAACCAGCAAAGTGGAAGAGAATGTCTGCTTCCATGGGCGTGTAGAGGTTGAAGCGACTTATCCGCGCGGCCTCGTTAAGGAAATCTGTACGGGTGATCTTGCCGTCAGAGCTCTTCTGTGTGGCATTGCGGATGATGAGCTCGATCATGTCCATCTGCTGGATGACGTTCTGGAAGGCGCGCACGTTGGCGTAGGAGATCTTGCTGCCAACCGAGATGTTGCAGAGAGTGGGCAGGTTCTCGAGGAGGTAGTCGGAGAGCTTGTGGCTCGCAGTCTCGCGTATTATGCGCTGGAAGTGCTCCGGCTCGATGAAGCCGTCCTTGTTCTTGTCGAAATAGGTGAAGCCTTGTCGCACACGCTCTCCCTGTAGCCCTCGCAGCAGCTGGGCAAACTGGGGGTAGGTCATGGTGTGCCTGTGCTTCTTGGAGCCAATGTACAGCGAGGCCCAGCCGCCCTCCCAGTCGAAGGGCAGGCTGTCCTCGGTCTTGTGCGCCTTCCATGTCTCGTAGAAGTCGTCGAAGTTGATGTAGCCGGTCCGCTGCTTGTCGAAGAAGCGGAAGACGACCTCGTACTCGGCGTCGGGTTTGGCGAGCAGGTTCTGGAAGACGGACCAGTCATGGATGCTGACCTTGCCCTTCTGGTCGCGATCGGCGACCTGGAAGAGGATGCCATACTGGTACCGCTTGATCTTGTGCTGGAAGCGGGCACGTCATTAGCTTGGATGACTCGATACTATGCAGACAACCCTGCTTACGTAGTCCTCGCCCTCGGGCGCGACCGCTGTGATGAATTGGTCTTGGTCGAGATAGTATTCGCCTGACTCGTCCTTTTGGGCGTGTTTCATAAAGGCGGCGCGCGTGAGCTGCGACAGCTGGGGCTCGTCGGTGGTGCCCAGCAGCACCTCGCGCACTTCTTCCGTGACGGTCGCCATAGTGAGGGAATGACAGCAGCCCGGGCAGTTGAGGGTGCAATTGGCCTGAGCGAGGTCGTTGGGTCAGTTGAGGGAAGGTAGAGAGGGACACAGTACAGGGTGAGTCGGCCAACTCGCCGTCGACAACAGCTCGCGGGTGGCAGCGAGCTCGGAGGTAAGCTAATTTTTAATTGCGAGCCATTGGCGGGGGTCGGAGGAAACGTGGGGAAGGCGCGGCTGCGAACAACGCCCTGAGCTGAGCTACTTACTGCAGGTGTCCAGGGGGAATCTTCTGAATTCTCAGTACCTAGTGTAGTGCTGCCTTTCACCCTGTGTCTTGTCCGTCTTCACACAAAGGCATTTGCCGCCTGCTTCCGCCTCGCTCCCGCATTACCTGTTTCTCGACATCGCCTCATCGCCTCATCGCTTGTAGCCCCTGTCAGATTCTATTAAGAGAACACTCTAATCGAGAGCCTCATGCGCCCATCGAGCCACATACCGCTCTCCAGGGATAAGTAATCAATCTAGCGCAAGGGCGAGTTTGGTATCACTGAGAAGGCCATCTACCCCGGACTGGTGCGCGCTGTCAAGCTTTTAGCGTCGCCCATTGCCCAGGCACACGCGACCCTTTGCACTGCTTCTTATGCGTCGTCGAGCACCGGCGGCTGTCAGAAATCCGTCCATCAGAGACTGAAGCATTCCAATCAGTACCAAGTCACCTTGTTCGGCTCTGCGACATCGCTCTCACAAGCAGCCAACATACCCGCTTCGACCCGGCACTCGGATCACTAGTTCCATGTACAGAGGCACCTCGGGAACCATGGCCAAGAATAGTCAAAATATGAGAGAAAGGCGACCGTTATAGCGCGCGCATCCTCAGCGCAGGTAAATCTATCTCGGTGGCCTTTAACACACTTTCCAAGACACTGCAGTGGATGCACACGACCAAGGAGCCCTATAGCATGAGCAGGCCTGCGTCAGCTATGACGACACGGCCAACGTCGTTGCATCGACTCCACCTGCACCTTCCCTCCAAGCCCACGTGAAGGCTTCAACTTCGCAATCACATCCAACATCCACCAGCATATACAGCAATCTCGCCTTGTGCTGATGATGTGATGTCGCGGTTTCCTACACTCTAGGCACTACCTTCCTATGACGAATTCCACAGTGCTAGAATATGGCCTCTCTTAATAGCTGCTCTGATTGACCCCACAACTGCGATCCCAATACACGGCCAGTTACAGACACTTCGGAGCACGCGCGGCCTTGAGAGCCAACTGCTTCAATGCGTGTTTGATGTATACAAGTCTATTGGTAGAAAATTCCTGCACCCTGTGGTCCTCCAAGGCGGAGACAAGACAGCGGAATTTCTGGGCAAGTCTCATGCACTTGGCGGATCCTCACCACGAGCAGCAACATGGTATCGAATCCGCACTCCAATGGCTGAAAGCAATATATCTGCGCTCCGACCCGTCACCAGATCCTCGGCGCCCATCTTCCAGTATCTTGTCTTCTGGGCACGTCTTGCCATCCTAAGCCCGGCGTCAAGCCGACGCCCTGCACTGCCATGTGCTACATACCTACTCGGGTTATATAAGATTGACCATGTTCCCAGGAACCAGGATTCTGCCAAACACAGCTCTACGCCTGCACAATCAAGATGGCGCATCCAGTCACAGCCAAGTATGATTGGATTCTTGCAATTACCACCATTGCCTTCGTCTTCTCCGCCTTCGGAAACGGTGCCAACGATGTCGCCAACGCCTATGCTACCTCAGTCGCCGCTCGTACCTTGACCATGGTACAGGTTGGCCCGCTTGCCGTAATAACAGAATTCATCGGTGCTGTTGCGCTTGGAGCTCGGGTGACCTCAACCATCAAGAACGGCATCATCTCTATCGACCGTTTTACAGGCAACCCGGGCGCGCTCATGTTGGCCATGGGCTGTGCTGGTGAGTATTTTCACTCTGTATCAGGAGCTTGAGCTAAACATGGACAGAGGTTGGTAGCGCCTTCTGGTTGATGCTTGCCACGCATCTGGGAATGCCCGTATCGACTACTCAAACAGTCGTTGGCGCTCTTATTGGAGTCGGATTTGCTAGCCAGGCTCCTGTCAAATGGGCGTGGGAGTCCGGCTCTGTATCGCAAGTTGCTGCTTCTTGGGGTATCGCACCTCTGATCGCTGGTGCATTCTCTGCTATTATCTTCGGCACCGTCAAGTACTCAGTTCTTGAGCGCAAAGATCCTTTCAAGCACGCCATGCGCCTCATTCCCTTCTACTTCGCCATGACAGGAGCCATCCTAGCCCTGTTCATTGTCGTTGAAGCACCTACAGCACCATCCCTGGAAGAGTTTGGGGCTGGCAAGGCTGCTGGAATCATCCTAGGAGTATTCTTTGGATGCTTGGCCATCTGCTATATCTTCTTCATTCCATTCTTTAAACGCAAGCTTATCATGAAGGATCCTCGTGTCCGAATCTGGCACGTCATCTTGGGCCCCCTGCTCCTCAAGGAGACTACCACTCTTTTCTGGCCAGGCAAGGGTAACGAATACGTCACCGATTACTACGAGGATGCCTACGGCGAAGTCCATGCTGGAACGAACGCGAAGCAGGCTGTGACGAATTCGACTAACGACGATGAGATCAAGAAAGTTGATGCTGGATCCCCATCCGGCTCAGTGAACAACAGTGGCGTTCTCCCTAGCGATCCAGAGAAGACAAAGCTAGAGGAGAGTGTTGGTGCGCCTGTCCGAAAACTGAAGAACCCAGAGCCTTACGAACGCTGGATTGTTCCCGTCAAGCATCTCTCATGGGTTAACCCTCAGAGGTGGTGGTCATACACCAAGTTCATCTTCCTCCGAGGTGTCACGTGCGATGTCATTACGCACGACAACGACCTTTTGCGCGCTATTCACTCCAAGGCCATTCGTTACGATGTTCGCGTCGAGCATCTATGGACGTACTGCCAAGTTGTCTCCGCTATGATGATGTCCATCGCTCACGGCTCTAATGACGTGGCCAACGCTGTCGGTCCATGGGCCGCTGTTTACCAGACATACCTAGCTGGGGAGGTTGCGACACGCTCCCCTACCCCCGTGTGGTTCCTGGTTGTCGCTGGTCTCTTGCTCGGTCTTGGTTTCTGGTTCTACGGATACCACATTGTCCGTGCGCTTGGTAACAAGATCACTCAAATGTCGCCAACACGCGGTTTCTCGGTCGAACTGGGCGCTGCCATCACCGTTTTGCTTGCTTCTAGACTTGGGCTTCCAGTATCAACAACTCAGTGCTTGACCGGTTCAGCGGTCGGGGTCGCCTTGATGAACTACGACCTTGGTGCCGTCAACTGGCGCCAACTGGCTTTCATCTTCTCAGGATGGGTAAGTTTCCTTCACATTACTTTGACTTCTCATCTCTAACAATTCTAGGTCATGACCCTACCCGTTGCTGGTCTTATTTCCGGTCTTCTTTGCGTCATGGCGCTCAACGCTCCGAGCTTCTAATCAGCTTCGATATGGCATGAGTCCAGGTCGATTTTTGATGTGTTTCGAAAGCACATTCCTGTAAATCAAATTGTGAAGGAAGTACAAGGATACCCATAGGTGAATACCATCTGTAAAATCGATCATTATGTTTTGTTTTATCATCTGCTCGTACGCCTCTTGCTCTTAGCATCTCCAGAGAGCGTCACAAATTCGCGTGACTTCTTTGCCTATGGACACGAGGGACACTTATCATTCCAACATGACGACGTCTCCCCTCCTAATTTCGTCCTTTCGAACGGATACCACAACACCTAGCGCAGAAATGCAGCTATGAAAGCAGGAAGCATGGATTACAGTAAATGGCAGATTGTGGCAAATAGTGTACGATATGAATCCATGTTCTGGAGATATTTCATGACATAAATACGATTTCAGAGTTACACATTTCAAAAGAGAACTCCACAATCGTGAGAAAAGAAGCACGGTATAAATTCGCTTTTGCACTCTTCTAATGACTACTCATCTAATCTTACTTCAAAGAACACAACAATGCCAGTCCTCCTTCCACCTCTCTATCTCGCCTTCCTGGCTACTCAACTGTATGCACTGAGAATTCACTGCCCGCACCCACCATCCGGCCTCGTCTATCCAACTTCTATCCAAGTACTCAAATTCTTCTCGGTCGTAGCTGGATCCCTTTCCTGGACGCTGATCGTCTCGCTTCCAACTTCCACGGCCATTGGCACTACGGTTGTCATTACCTTCTTCCCCAGCAGCTCACTGTTGTTAACATGGACTGCACTGACAACACTCTCCCGCACCTTCTCCGTAATCTTTGGCCGTGTGACACCAAAGTACATTGTTAGCACGGCTCCATTCGCACATGTTAGGCATCCAACGTACATCTCTTATGCATCGGAGTTGCTGGGCGCTGTCTTTTTTATATTGGCTTCTTACCTACCTACATACTTTTCCAAAAGAATCGATATTGAGGGCACCGGGCTGTCGATGCCCGTTCGCTGTGTGGGTCTTGTGACAATGGTTGCGGGGTTTATGTGGTTGTATAGGAGATGAGCGAAACTGGAGGAAGAACAATTTATGAGGAACCAAGAGATTGCTGGTGAAGAGAAGACGGTGGAGGACATCGGATTGGTGTGTTTAGCGTACATCAGGAGGGTGAAGAGTTGATGGATTTCGAAGGTGGTTTGAGGTGGCTCAGGAAGCGGACGGAGATATACATGCTGTGTCAATATTGTATTCCATTAAATTACTGTACAATGCTATCTATACAAATGTGGTAGGAATTATACTTTTGGTGGGTCATGCAAATTCTCACCTTTCGTGCATATCGTCAATCATGCCATCTGACTATTTCGGTGCGCTTCCATCCTCGCCTCGCCCTCTTCCTGCATCTGCTGTTGCATACGCGACTCTCTTCTTCTACCCATCTCTTCTTCAATAGCCTGGTTGGGTCCTGGTACCAAGCCCCATGGGCCTTTGCCAATCTTAGCACCCTTGTACTTGACGGCTATTCCGACGCATACAGGCCCAATGATTGTGTTCAACAAGATAGCCCAAATGGCTGTTATGAAGCCCTGCTGAGAGACGTAAGGTGTGTTGTTGTAGCCAATTTCTACAATTAGCAGACCAATCTCTCCACGTGCGACCATGGCCATGCCAAGCAAAATCATGGGTGAGACGGAGGATTGTATCGCAGCTTTGCGGGACGGTGAATCAGGAGATGATTTGACTTTTTCGAGCGAATTTCCGTTCTCGGCCGCGGACTCTGCTTGTGCTTCGTGCGCTTTCTTGGGGTCATGCTTTGCGGCAGCCCAAATGGGTATCCATGCACCCACAATCGCCTTGCCAAACAGCATGAGTAAGGTATATACAACGCCTCTCCAGATGGCTTCTCCAGTCCAGAGGTCCAGGAATGGAATTGCGAATCCTATGCTAGCGAAGAAGAGGGGCGCTAACACGTATTGCTGTGCGTCCAAACAGTAGACTTCGAAAGTATGCACGAACGTTGGAGATTTATCTTTGGAACGCTCGCCTTCCTCCCTACTCATGACCACGAACGGACCTTCCGGATGCGTTGAAGGAAGATACGTCAAGAATGCACCGGCGAGGAAAGCTCCGAACAGAATGGAAGTCCCTGCGTAGGCAGCAATCGAGATGAAGGCTGACAAAACCAGAATCATCAGTATGATGTTGGACAAGTGGTCAAACTTGTGAAAGTGCTTCTCGATGTATCTCCGGAAGACAGGAGCGAAAAACCATTTGGTGAGGACTGGGGTGAGTATCGCCATAGCCGCAGATGCGACGATAGGTCGGCCAATCAACCATCCCAAGTTGACGTCGCCTCCAGAAGCGATACTACCCAAGTCATGGATAACACTGGACATGACGAGACCTGTGACATCGTCGATGACTGCAGCGCTGACGAGTACAGCGCCGACTTTGGTTTGACTGAGATCGACGTCCTTGGAAGCGCTTGAGATGACAGCAAAGGTAGTGCCCAGGCTCGTGGCACTCAGAGCAGCGCCGATGATGAACGTCTCAACAGCGCCGTAGCCGAACCCAAGATACAGCAAGAGATAGCTGAAACCGATTGGACACAGAACGCCGGTGGCAGCTCCACAGATCGACAATGTGAAGTTGGCCTTGAGCAGATCCAAGCGAGTGCTCAAACCACCCTCAAAGATAATCAAGATCAAGCCAATGTAGCCAAGATATAGGAACGTTTCTAAATGCCGGGGTACAGATTCAGTAAATGTCGCAAATGAGCCATCTTCTGCAGCAGGGACACGTACCAGCCCAATCATGTTGGAGAATGTTTGCCAACGGCTCGCCGTATATGATGCCTACTGCAATCGGCCCAATGATGCCGGCACGGATAGTCTTGGCCGAAACGTACTCGGCAAGCCATAAGAAGGTGAAGAAAGATACCAGGATAAGAATATCGACGACTTAAGCTTGCGTTAGTTGAGATCGACATTCCAGGGAGGAAGGTGGACAAGGCGACGCGCTTACTTTCGGGCTCGTGATACTGCAGAAACGGCGCGGCGTCAGAATTCGAAGACGACATGCTAGGTTGGAGAGGGTGTTGAGAGGCTGGGAGGTCAGCAAGCAACTGCTAAGCCGTTGGGAAACTCTCGGCTGGAGTGAAGAAGCAATGGACCCTGGTGCATTTTGACGACGTCATCTTGAAGGCCCGGTGCTGACCACTTCCAGCCTACAAGCTATCAAAACTCTCAACGGCCAAGACCACGTGCAAGGACTATAGTGTCATGATAGTGACATCTCGCCCAGTTCGCAGTAAATCTACACGCGGCTCCGGCATCTCGATCCACACTTTTCTTCACCACCGCGTCCGTGCGCCGGGGTATCTCCGCTCAGTCTCGACTCCGCCAACCTGCACGATGCACCCCCAGAGGACCACTCACATTCAAGTCGGACAAGGCTTGACGCTCCTGATGCGAAGCTTGAGTCTGCGAAACGCGTATCGTCTGCTCCACCGCGGCATTGAAACGACAGGTTCTGCATGAGGCCAGTTGAAGAGGCAGGACCAAGAAGATCCTGAGGTGCCAAGGCCATGAATGCCGCGTAGCCGTGACCTCACAGCAAACCCCCGTAATGTGATGAGCACTCAATGGCCATCTCCATCGCCAAGGGTGGAGAAAAGTTTGCTCGCTAACTTGGCAGTGGCCCTCTGAATACCTTGGCGGGAACTCTCGTGACGCTTGGCATGTCTTTGCAGAGCCGTCTTCCCACACCGACTTCCCCACTGCTCAACATATATCTTGAAGACATCTAGGACCTTTCCACGTTTCTTGCTCTTTCCTACCACCAACCTCTCGTCGGTATCTTCACGTTCTCGCTCCAAGTTTGCTCCAAACTTTGCCAACACTCTTACATCGTCAACTCCAAACCCACCCATACAAACCTTACAACTCGCCAATCACGGCGTTGAATTAGGAGGAGTCTGCACCCCCGCCCCGTTCTGAAGTCCTCTATGTATACTACACTCAACACCCAATCCAACAAATTTGTCCACGTGGCCATAGTCCGCGGGACAAGAGTACGCAGAAGACTAGAGCGTTGATCTCAGTCTCGTCTGCCGATATCCGTATACACGCAATCACCCCATATTTACAACCCGACTACCGAAGACCCACCTCTTTCAAATAACAAAAACAATCCTCGGTTATGGGGAAAAAAGCAACGACCCTGGAGGGTCACGTCAGTGGCCAATGCAACAAACCCATGTCACTGCCCGCTCACAGCCTTACGCTCGAACAAGTCAAGACCGAGCTGAAGACTGAAGAATGGCATGGTCTGGACGACGCCGAAGCCAAGCGCCGTGTCGATGAGTACGGCTCCAACGAACTTGGTGAGGCTGAGAGCGTCTCGCCAGTAAAAATTCTGATTGCTCAAGTCGCCAATGCCATGACTCTAGTTCTCATCATGGCTATGGCCGTCAGCTTTGGTATCAAGTCTTGGATTGAAGGTGGTGTCGTCGCCTTCGTCATCGGACTGAACATTGTCGTTGGCTTCTTTCAAGAGTGGTCTGCCGAGAAGACTATGGATTCTCTACGATCACTCAGTTCACCAACCGCCCGTCTCATTCGTAGTGGCCAACAGGTCACAGTACCCTCCGCTGAAGTCGTTCCCGGAGATGTCATTGAGGTCAAGGTTGGAGACACCATCCCTGCCGATATTAGGGTTTTTGACGCAGTCAACTTCGAGACTGACGAAGCCTTACTTACCGGAGAGTCCCTTCCTGTTCGCAAGCAAGAGGACGCTACCTTTGATGAGAAGACTGGCCCTGGTGATCGCCTTAACGTCGCCTACAGTTCGTCCTCGGTCACCAAGGGCAGAGCCAAGGGAATCGTTTTCGCGACTGGCGCCTACACTGAGATTGGCGCCATCGCTGCTCAACTCCGTGAGACCAAGTCGAAAGTTCGACCAGTCAAGCGAAAGGAGAACGGAAAGGCAAAGCCACATCGTTACCTCGAGGCTTACACACTTACCACTACCGACGCTATCGGTCGCTTTTTGGGTCTCAACGTAGGAACACCTCTCCAGAAGAAGCTTTCCAAGCTAGCAGTATTGCTCTTCTTCATCGCTGTTGTTTGTGCCATTATTGTCCTTGCAGCCAACGAGTTCAGTTCTCGCCAGGAAGTCATCATTTACGCTGTCGCGACAGGCTTGTCCATGATTCCAGCTAGTTTGGTCGTTGTGCTCACAATTACTATGGCAGCGGGCACCAAATCCATGGTCACGCGAAATGTCATCGTCCGTAACCTCAAGTCCCTGGAGGCTCTCGGTGGTGTTACCGATATTTGCTCCGACAAGACAGGAACACTCACCCAGGGTAAGATGATTGCCCGCGGTGCTTGGGTTCCAGGCGTTGGAACATACACTATTGAGGATTCCAATTCTCCCCAAGACCCAACCGCTGGTCACGTCCGCTTTGGCTCCGCAGCTCCTAGCAAGATGGACCTCAAGGCTGGAGGTGATGCTTGTGGTGAGCGTCTCTCTGTCGACAAGCTTGAGGCCCACAATGTCGAGGGCTTCGGCGAGTTCCTCAAAGTCGCATCTCTGGCTAACTTAGCTGCTGTCAAGCAAAACAACGAAGGTGCGTGGGAGGCCCACGGAGATCCCACCGAAATCGCTATCCAGGTTTTCGCATCTCGATTCGGTATGAACCGTAGCCATCTCGTAAAGGGCGATTCTGCTACGTGGGAGGATCTTGTTGAGCTTCCTTTCGATTCCGACGTCAAGCGCATGTCCGTTATCATGAAACACGCAAGTGGCAACTACGCTTTCACCAAGGGTGCCGTAGAGCGCGTTATCCAGAGCTGTACCACCTACCTCGCCGATGGCAAGGAGCAATCCCAGCCTGTCACTGAGGAGTTCCGTAACGAAATCCTCGCCCACATGGCATCTTTGGCCGGTCTTGGTCTGCGTGTCTTGGCTTTGGCTAGCAAGAAGTATCCCGCCGACGTCGAGAAGGGCGCCGAGGTTGAACGTGCCTCTGTAGAATCTGAGCTTGTCTTCCGTGGTCTGATTGGTCTTTACGATCCTCCCCGCCCCGAATCCGCTGTCGCTGTCCGCCAATGCCACGAGGCTGGTATTGAGGTCCATATGTTGACTGGAGACCATCCAGGTAAGCTTCAACTGTACAAGATCCTTGCGAGATATACACTGACGTTGTACCTCTTCAGATACGGCGCGCGCAATCGCTATCGAAGTTGGTATCTTGCCATCCGCTGAGCGTTACAAGAAGATCTCTACCGATGTCGCCAAGAACCTTGTTATGACCGCTTCCGAGTTCGACGACCTTTCCGATGACCAAGTCGATGAGCTTCCTGTTCTGCCATTGGTTGTGGCCCGTTGTGCGCCTAGCACCAAGGTCCGCATGATCGAAGCTCTCCACCGCCGCGACCGATTCTGCGCCATGACTGGTGACGGTGTCAACGATTCTCCTTCGCTCAAGCGTGCCGATGTTGGTATTGCCATGGGACAGGCCGGTTCAGACGTCGCCAAGGAAGCCTCCGACATCGTCCTCACAGACGACAACTTCGCGTCCATTCTCGCCGCCATTGAAGAAGGTCGTCGTATTTTTGACAACATCCAGAAGTTTGTGTTGCACGTCTTGGCTGAGAACGTCGCTCAGGCTGGTACGCTTCTCGTTGGTCTCGCCTTCAAAGACAGGACTGGTCTTTCCGTCTTTCCTCTCGCTCCTGTACAGGTTGTCTGGATTATCATGGCTACTTCAGGATTGCCAGACATGGGTCTCGGTTTTGAACGTGCTGTGCCTGACATTCTGCAACGCCCACCTCAATCTCTCAAGACAGGTATCTTCACCTTGGAGTTCCTTGTCGACATGGTCGTTTATGGTCTCTGGATCACTCTTCTCTGCTTGGCCAGTTTCGTCCTCGTTGTCTTTGGTTTCGGTGATGGTGAACTTGGTACGGGTTGCAACGAGACATACTCCGAACAGTGTGAGTTGGTGTTCCGCGCCCGCGCTTGCACATTTGCCTGTTTGACATGGTTCGCTCTCTTCCTCGCCTGGGAGATGATTGATATGCGTCGGTCTTTCTTCCGCATGCAGCCTGGCAGCAAGCGCTACTTCACCCAGTGGATGTTTGATGTATGGAGGAACCAGTTCCTCTTCTGGGCCATCATGGTTGGTTTTGTTCTCCTGTTCCCGCTCATCTACATCCCCACGCTCAACACAGTCGTGTTCAAGCATGCGCCTATCGACTGGGAGTGGGGTATCGTTTTCATCGAGACCGGCATCTTCTTTGCAGGTATTGAGTTCTGGAAGTGGTGCAAGCGCGTCTACTTCCGCCGCAAGGGAGCCAAACACGGTACCGGAAAGGTTGACAAGAACATGGAGATCGAGGACCGTGTCTTTGGTCGTTACTATAGCCGCGACTCATCCACCACTGGCAACGAGAGCGTGCAGGAGAAGGCTTAGGCGTTCAGTCTGAGATATTGTAAAGAGACAAGGCTGCAGATGCGTTCCACCAGCAGAACACCTGCCCAGCACAAAAGTTAGTTACCTTAGTATATAGAATGATTAGAAATGACCACGACAACGTAGCTTGCGTTAACAATAAAATGATATTATATCAAACCCCTGCCTTTTATACACTTGAATCACATTGCAACTCTTTCACGCTCAAAGTCGACAGTATGTAGCGTTCCTCTATCCGCTGCATGAGCGACGAAGTTTCCTCAGTCGCCCGTGCTCTGGGACCCATCCATTACACTAGCCGATTTGGGCGACACGTAGAACGAATGAACTCGGGTTGAGGTGGAAATTCGAATTCAGTGATAACGGCTTGGAGATGCACAGATGGGGAAAGTTGGTGCTCTTGAGCACTTCTTCTGTGAGGCGCAGCAGCCAAAGGTAGACTGCGGCATTTTGTTGATGTGACGGTAGTGGTTGCGGCATTTTACTTACCACCAGGCCTACATGAGATGAGATCGTCAAGAACACCATGTCTACGCAAGGAATCATTAGAGCAGCGTTATGGAAAATAATGGTTGATGCACTATGTGAGCGAACCTCCAGTTGAGCTACTGGGGAAACTGCAAATTACGTGGTGAGGATGCGAGGGGAACGCGATTTGTGTACGTCAAGTGAAAGCCTATCAAAGGAGCTTGGAGATTCTCGCGCTATTGTGAGAGATGGACATGGATGAAACGCTCGTCTAAATATTGGTATTCATGGTCAAAGTGTAGTGGGGATGGCTACCTCCTCTAAGCACCTCTCGCCCAAGGTACATAATGATACAGATCGCGGTATTTGAAAGGGTACTTGATTGTCTCCTACACGACCAATCGTCCTGGCTCAACCTCGAGGACGGTCTTGACGCGCTCAAGGAAGATGCGGCCGCGCTTCTCGTCGCCTTTGGGCACGCTTACGCTGAACACATTCAGGGGTCCAGCAACGCCTGCTGCGCCGGTTACGGATTTCCTAGTGGAAGCCTTCTTGCCAGCCAACATGTCAAGGATGTCGGACTTTGGTGCTGGGGCACGCTTGCTAGGAATAGCAGTCGGGGGTAGCGCAGTCACTTGTGGGACGAAATTTCCCTGCGAGTACTTTCCGGCTACCTTGTCAAGGCCAAGGACTGCATTGAATAGCTCGTCGGCAGATGGCTTCGCGACTTTGGATCGCGGGAGGTCTTCGTTCGCAAGCTCGGCAGCACGCGCAACAAAAGTGGATAACGGTAGGAAGACGCCTATCGAGTCCTTGACGCGCTTCTGGCACTCCATGACTGCGGTGAGAGAGACGGGCAATGCCACCTCAATCGAGAGGTCCTCAACAACTGCAGGCGCTTCAGCTGCAGTCTTCTTAGGCGCCTCCTTCTTTGCCATGACCTTGATGTTGGAGAGATCGAGGTGGGAGAGCTTGGTGAAGCGGCTCGCGAGCTCTGAGGGGTATGCGTTCTCGATCTGACCAATGTATGCAAGTACATCTCCCTTGAGTAACCTGCCACCAGGCCCAGTCGCAGGGATCTTGTCAGCCTCCTCCTTGGGCAGCCCGTTCAGTGTGAGCAACTGCTGTACAGAGGGGTATAATGGATATGTTTGCTTGGAGGCCTTGCCACTGGAGGCTTTCTTGGAAGCATCGGACTTTGCAGGCGGGGCAGAGGTTCGCTCCTCCTTTGGTACGGGTGCGGGCTCCTTGTTGGACTCTTTGGGCGCTTCAGCCTCCTTCTTGGGTGCAGGGCTTTCTTCGGCGGGTATCTCGAGGGTGCTCAGGTCGTCGCCAGGCTCTGCAGTGACTGCTATCCGTGTGCCGACCTGGACTGCTTTGGAACCGTCTTGGACCTACGGCCTCGATTAGCCACGAACTGAAGCAATGCGTCTTTCCCACGTACAGTGATCTTTGCTAGTATGCCGTCATCCTGCGCCTCCACGTCCATCTGCGCCTTGTCCGTCTCGATCTCGAGGAGCACGTCGCCGGCGGAGAAAGAGTCTCCCTCCTTGATCTTCCAGCTCGCGATGTTGCCCTCGGTCATGGTCGGTGAAAGTGCAGGCATGTTGAAGTTTTGCGCGGCGAGCGCGGCCTGGCTTGAGTGAAGTCCTACCCGTCGTGTCAGTATATTTGTGCATTCTCCGGTGTTTTGGCGTGTCTTTTGTACCTCTCCGGGCGCCATGGCTGCGCAACTGCTGCGAGGCAGCCCGCGCTGAGACCCTACATACCGCGGCGAGCGAAGCCATGTGGAATCAATTGGCCGGCGGAGACAATGGCAGTGGGAGGGTTGTTTGGCGACGGGGCTGATCTGCTGGCGGAAATGTTGGGCGGAACAAGCTTCGGAGGTGTCTGGCGGGACGCGCTTGGGCCCGCTTTCTGGTTGGACTTTTTCCCGATATATCGCGACTCCATCCACGCTCACATAGCGACGCATTGACTTGCCCGAGCATGCACGCCTCATAGCGGTACATCGAGTATCCCATACTAATACAGACACCATGCCCGCCTTTTCCCGGGGCTTCGACGCCTTCATGCGCCAGAATTCCTTCCGCCTCCCCTCCTCTCTCCGCGCAGCCCTCTTCGGAACACGAGAATCCTTCTTCACACCCACCACGCTTCGCCAAAATCGCTCCTTCACCTCGTCCGTACTTCGACGCTACCAATATTACAAGAGTACTGTTGTCACACCAAAAGCCAGTGGATTTGTAAACAACGACCCAGTCCTACGCCAAGTAGTCCAAACCCGTCAGCCTATCCTACTATACCAAGCGCCTAAGAACAAATGGTACTATCTCAAGGTATACGGAACGGGGGCATTATGGATAGGAGTTGGGGCATATTCCATCAAATTCAATGACGACATCAAAGACAAGGGATTGTCCTTCTTCGTACGACCAACGTATATCGTGGTAGGAGTGAGCTTCGTTATCATCGGCTGTTATATCTGTACAGCGCCTAGCAATCGCATGCGAGCGTTGGAAATACTCCCAAGTTTGCAGGGCGGGCCCATGCAATTGCGCATGACTGTCAAGCCAGTGCCGTGGCTGAAAGAGCGCGTCATATACTCGAATCTAGGAGCAGTGACGATAAGTGAGAAAACGGAACCCATGGTGCAAGAGTTGCTTGAGGCAGAACGTTTCAGGAAGCAAAGACTATGGGACGACTTGGGACATATGAACATTGCGGCCCGTGTCTGGGAAGGATCTGCGCGCTGGGTGCATCAGAAGTGGACAAACTTCTTCTTGAAGTTTAAATTCGCAGTACTGAGGTTCGGTATCGCGAAGGTCAAAGTGGGGGGAGACGAGTGGAAGATCGACTGCTCGGGCTACTTGTTGGAGAACGGCAAAGGTACGACTTCATCATCATTGTTCTCAGAGTAATTCTAACGAGACATAGCGGTCGACCGAATCATTCCCGAAGAGTAGGAAAACCTTGCGCATCCTTCTGGAAGTGATCTTACAAAACACTTTGAAAAGTTGCTGCCTATTTACGACCACGAAGGGCCCGCCGGGATAGTGAAAGCACTTGTCGTACAACCGGTAACAAACTTTGCAGGCATTGCAAGTCACGTTAGTTCATAAACTGACCACATAGGAGCTGTTGCACTCCTTGGAGGTAGGCGATCTACTTGTATATTAAACGGCAGACAGCTGTAAATTTATGTAAGATACGACCCCAGCCCTAGCAACGGCATGGTATTGCCGAAAACACCTGTGCAACAAACACTCTCATGCAAAGCTGGCGAACGCAGTGTCAGCCTCACATGCTTTATGTCTATCCTGAAAGCAGTCGTCTTGCCTTTGGTGAGAGATGCAGGGAACTTGGGCAATCCACTACTCAAATCGCGAGCGATCACACCTACACTGTCACTTCCTTTCGTCCATTTGTCACGGCCGGTTCCACAGCCATGCCTGTAGGTACCAGGTCTGTGCTTGCATACAAGGCTGAATCGGTTGCAATGACAGCTAACGCTGCATACGGCATGACTTCGTAGGCGGGCTGAGCATACATAGCATAGGCAAAACCGCCTATTGTGGATACTACTACTGTCGATCTCATTCCTGTAGGTTCTATGTGGTAGGGTAAAAGTTGTTTTCCAAAAGTGTCTGAACAACAAAATGACGACTTAGAGCTCGTTCAAATTTAAGGGTAGAGTTTGCGTCTTACAATGCAGACTCTCGAACTCAGGAACGGCGAGCTCCGCCAACAAAAAACATTCTTGCCATCCTATATATACTCGGGACTGCAAAGCGCAGCATAGAAATGTTACTATGTAGTACCAATCATATACATCTCTTCGTAACGTTTGTCGCACTATACACACTACCATAATCACAACGCTATCCAGTACGCCACACCCCCAGTCCCCTTGTAGAATTGCGTGAAAGCACCGACCGTCGAACTGCACCATTTGTCAACAGCCATTCCAGAGTTCATTGTTGGCCAGAAGAGACAACTTACCCTCTCATCTGCTCCTTATCCTTTGCTTTTTGCCAATCTTTCCAGCGCTCCTTCTCACTAAGATTTGCATCACGCCATCTCTCTTTGCCCGGTTCTGCGGATTTCGATCGCCGTGAACTGGAGTGCGAGGAAGAGCCATGAATATGGAGTTTTGATCGCCAGGATGTTGCAGAGGACGGACGTTCTGGTAAAGGGGATGGAGGCTTGAGGGTCGTGGACGATGTTGTGGTAGTGGACACACTATCCACGTCTACAAGAGGAGTCGTGGGCTTTTTCATCCAAGCAGAAGGCTCGGAATTTGTTGTTTTGTATGGATCAGTCATGGCTGTGATGATTTGTGCAGATATGAATGCGCAACTATGGAGTTGTAGACGAAGATGTTCACGACAGCGTAAAAAGTGCGCAAGATGAGAGGATACAAGGCGTGTCAGTAGTTGAGAGCAGTCATTGTTAACCACATGTAGATCAAGGCGCAAGCATGTTGTGTCGAGAGTCGGGCGTGGCTGTGAAGTCGTATAGCATGACGGGCGCAAGGCGTTTACTGGGCTGAGCTTACTAGCATTTATCCGGTATTGTGGCGCAAGCGCCCAGGTGTGGCGTTATACATAGCTACGTGGAGCCAACCAGAAAGTTGCGGTAGAGATGTCCAATTAAACATACTTTACGCTGCTAGCTCTACGTCGTCAAGGTTCTTCCGTATGAACTTTGTTACAGCATCCAGTCCATTTTGAACAACATCTGTCTGGTTAACATAGCCGATCCTGACGTAGCCCTTGAACTCTTCGCCGAAACAGGTGCTGCCAGGTACGAACATGACGCCTGTCGCTTCCAGCAGCTTTTTGCAGAAGTCGATCGAGTCGACGGGCTTTCCTTCCCTGTGAAACTTGACGAAAGCTGTAGTGCCAGCAACGGGCTTGACCCATTCACACTCATCTTCGTTTTTGAGTTGAAACTTTTCTAGAATGGCCATGTTTTTCCTCGCAAGTTCGAGGTTGCGCGCTAGCAGCTGATGCACGGTTGCCGAGTGTAGCGCATATGCTGCGATGCATTCATCAAAGTAGGAGACAGAGATGGTGGTGTAATGACGCGCTGAAGCGATTCTCTCAATGATCTCAGAGCTACGAGAAGCTATCCATCCTATGCGGATACCGGCAAGTGAATAGGCCTTTGACATGGAGCCCGTGACGATGACATTGTCGTAGCCCATGGATAGGAGAGACGGTGGAAACTCCTTGTCCAAAGGACTAATGGAATGGAACAGTGGCCGATAGACCTCGTCACTCATGATGGTAATATTCTTTTCAGAAGCAATGTCGATGAGTTCTTGTAGGAAAGTCTTGCCTAGGATGGCACCAGTAGGGTTGTTGGGGTTGTTGATGACGATGAGCCTGGTGTTGGGCTTGATAAGCGACTTGAGGTCGTCGATTTTGGGTACCCATTTGTTCTCGGGTGTAGCTTTCCACAAATCGACTTCAGCGCCCAGTTGCTTAGGGACCTCGTAGAGAGATTGGTAGGTGGGGTAGTGGCAGATGACATGGTCTCCAGGGCCAGCGAGAGCGTATGCAGTCAGATAATTTGCTTGAATGGCACCAGGAGTGATGAGGATGCTGTCCGGGGAGAGTGGGTTTGTGACTTTTGCAGAATACAGTCGGGCGAGGTTGTTACGTAGCTCGTCACTTCCTCTAATGGTACCGTATGTGAGGACACGCGAGGTATCGAAAACTGGTCGGTCTTTGTCCTCGGACAGCTCGCGTAGCTGATCGACGGAGATTGAGGCACAACATGTTTCAGCGACGTTGTACTTGCACTTTGTCTCGTATGCGTCCATCCACTGGGGACGTTAGTTTATATATTCCCCACGTGGAGGAGATGCGGGGATGAACCTACGGACTCGACGGCGAACTCGTCGATTTTGACCATATTGACGGATAAGAGGGTTGGTCTGTTGTTACAATGAGAAGAAAAACACACAAAGGCCACTTGTTCAGCCTGGAAGTTTAAAATGTCAACTTGGGGATTGACATAGGGCGCACATGGCCTCGAGATGGCTCCGCTGGAGCGGGCGAGCTAGCAGCTAGAGGGCTCCGGCGGCCAGGTATGCCCGAGAAATGCGGCGGCTCTACAGGTGTCGCGCGGTCACGTTGATCACGTCGCTAGAGATGAAGCATGAGGCTGCTAGTGGCGTGATGCGCGTACCCATGATTTCTCTTTTGCATGTTGCAAGTCAGATATCGATGACGAAGACCATGGTGCCCACGGGTGCCTGTTGGCTTGTGCCTCGGTCTAACGGTCCGCCATGATGCTTGGCTGGAGACAGCCCAGCCTCCACGAATCATGGTCGGGCAAGGCCGATGATAGCAGCCCTCATCTGGCCACCATCGCCGCGTCGTGTCCCTCGTCACTATCACGAGCTGCCTAGCTCTGTTGCCGTTCCTTTGACAGCTGCTCTCTGCCATCGCGTTACTGCTGCCATACAACGAGACACCCGACGTGTCATCGCAGCTATCTAGCATAGCTTGCCTCGCGCCGCAGACACTCCAAGATGCGCCAACGAACGTGGGCGACATCGCTGGCCACCATCCTGGGCCTGGCATCGACAGGAGGCGCCTACAAGACGTTCGCAAACTATTCCGTCGCCGAATCGCCCCAGGATCTCTTCTCCATCTACGGCGACCGACCCGACGGCTGTCCCCCGTGCTTCAACTGCAACCTCGAAGACTTCAAGTGCAAGCAGTTTGCTGATTGCAGCAAGGCCAACGGACGATGCAACTGCGGCCCAGGATTTGGAGGCGAGGACTGTTCAGAACCCCTTTGCGGCGCGCTGCCCGATGGCAAGAACCGCTCACCACGAGGAGGCGCAAAGCAGTGTGAATGTTCAGAGGGCTGGTCAGGCATCAACTGCAATGTCTGCCAGACCAACGATGCCTGCAACGCCATGATGCCGGATGGCGAAGGCGGAGTCTGCTACAAGGACGGCCAACTGGTCAAGGAGAACTTCCAGATCTGCGACATCACCAACAGGAAGATCCTCGACACACTCAAGGACAAGAAACCCCAGGCGACCTTCTCTTGCAACGCCGAGTCGGAGGAATGCAATTTCCAGTGTAAGCTTCACACCCACCCTCTCATTCATAGCTAACCATGGCAGTCTGGGTCGACCAGAGGGAATCCTTCTACTGCGCCCTCGACACGTGCTCCTCCCAATTCACCGCCGAATCCGATCGCAACATCACCAAATACCGATGCGAAAACATAAAGTGTGAATGTGTGCCCGACAGGATGCTTTGCGGAGAGGACGGCTCCGTCGACATTGGTGACTTCTTGAAGGAGTCGATCAAGGGACCTGCTGAGTTCAGAGGCATCTCAGCTATCAACAGCAAAGACAGCGGAAGCGTCTTCTCCGAGCCTGCCATGAACGACCTCATCTCGAGCGTCTTCGGCGACGAGAGTATCTTCCTACAATGCGACACGGGCGAGTGTTTGTACCAGACCGAGGTACCAGGCTACGAGAGGCCCATCAAGAAGATCAACACGCCTCTGATTGCTGGTGTCATCGCTGGTTGCGCCCTGTTCATCGTGGCTGCCATTCTGGCTGTCTGGTATCTCACGCACCGTGCCGAGAGCAAGCGATACGGTCCCATCCACCTGTCGGACGACGAGGAGGACGAGGATGCGAAACTGCTAGCAGACCACAAGCCAGCTGCTTTCCTCTTTGAGAACGTCGCATACAACCTCAACGGAAAGCAGATTCTCTCCGGCATCTCTGGCGCAGTCCACCCCGGAGAGCTCCTGGCTATCATGGGTGCTTCAGGTGCTGGAAAGACTACCTTCCTCGACATTTTAGCTCGCAAGAAGAAGATCGGAACCGACAGTGGCGATTTCTACGTCAACGGCGAGAAGGTCCGCGATGACGAATTCAGAAGCGTCATTGGTTTCGTCGACCAGGAGGACACTCTTCTACCAACCCTAACTGTTCACGAGACGATTCTTGACTCTGCTCTGTTGCGCCTGCCCAAAGAGATGAGTCGCACTTCCAAGGAGCAAAAGGTTGAGGACGTCGAACGTCAACTCGGTATCTACCACATTCGCAACCAGAAGATTGGCTCTGAGGAGAGTGGTCGTGGCATTTCTGGTGGAGAGAAGCGTCGTGTCGGTATTGCCTGTGAACTCGTCACATCGCCCAGCATCCTCTTTCTCGACGAACCTACGAGCGGACTAGACGCGTACAATGCTTTCAACGTCGTCGAATGCCTCGTTAACCTGGTCAAGAACTACAACCGAACCGTCGTCTTCACTATCCACCAGCCACGCTCAAACATCGTCGCCCTCTTTGATCAGTTGATACTGCTTGCCAAGGGTAGGGCTGTCTATTCTGGACCCTTCGAGAACTGCCAAACCTATTTCGATGAGCTTGGCTACACCTGCCCACCCGGTTTCAACATTGCGGACTACATTGTAGACCTTACTATGCACGCAAGCACTGCACGTCAGCCTATCGACGAAGACAGCTCAATCTTCAACCGTGACCTCAACCGTGATGGTCTCACCACAAGCGCAAGTAGTGCCATTGCCGTCAAGTCTATCCCTAGTATCAATACGTCGGAGCTCGAAAGAGATATCGCTGGTAGCCCTAGCAATTCGAGCATCTTGCGACCCAAGAGCAAGAGAAGGACGTCCATCAAGCAGCAGCAAGAACGCGAACTATTCACAAGAAAGAAGAGCTCTGCTCCTGTTAACGATGGTGCAATGTCCCCCAAGACTGACGACGAGGCTCCTTACGATCGCCGAGGCGCTATCAAGGCTCAGTGGTTGAAGCTCACACGTCAAGGAGGTAGCGTACCTCCCCAGATCCTCGAGGACCCAGATGAGCTCCCACCACCCGCCAACGGCGCCACCGGAACGAATCTGGATCTCTTGATCAATGCTTACGCTTCTTCCGACATCGCCGCTACAATCCGTCAAGACATTGCCACTTCGGTGGCCAGCGCAAACCAAGCCAACGGCACTAACGGAGTGCACGAGCAGAACGGCTTCGTTGCAGCAGGCAAGTTGAAGGGTTTCAAGAAAGTTGGTCTCTTTGGCCAGTTCAGGATCTTGTCTCGACGAACTTGGCGCAATCTCTACCGTAACCCGATGCTCATGCTTACTCACTACGCTATTGCCATCGTCCTAGCAGTTTTCCTCGGCTTCCTCTTCTACGGTCTCACAGACGATATCAAGGGTTTCCAGAACCGCCTCGGTCTGTTCCTGTTCGTCTTGTCGCTCTTTGGCTTCAGCAGCTTGACCATTCTTACCGTATTCGCTCCTGAACGACTACTCTTCACCCGCGAGCGTGCCAAAGGCTACTACTCCCCGCCTGCCTACTTCGCCGCCAAGGTCATCTTCGACATCATTCCTCTCCGTCTGCTTCCTCCCATCATCCTCGGTATTATCGTGTACCCAATGACTGGCCTCATTCCTGCATGGCCCAACTTCCTCAAGTTCACGCTTTTCCTCGTCTTGTTCAACCTCGCAGCCGCAGCCATCTTCCTCTTCATTGGTATTGTGTTCCGCAACTCTGGCGTGGCCAACTTGATTGGTGTGCTAGTCATGCTATTCAGTCTTCTCTTCTCTGGCTTCTTCCTCAACAAAGAGAGTATTCCTGCCATAGCCAAATGGCTGCAATCGGTAAGTCGAAGATCTTCCTTCCTTTTGATAGCGCACCTATACTAACAGCATTCAGCTGTCAATCTTCCACTACGCATTCGAGGGCCTCATTGTTAACGAAGTCAAATACCTTTCTCTTATTGATCACAAGTACGGCCTTGATATCGAGGTGCCTGGCTCTGCCATCCTCAGCTCGTTTGGTTTCAACACGCAAGCGCTATGGAAGGACTGTATCGGTCTGGGTGTGTTTGGTGGTGCATTTGTGCTGCTTGCGTACCTAGCCATGCATTTGCTGCTTGTGGAGAAGCGGTAGTGGGGGGAAATCTGCTGGGGTGTACCTCGTGTTCAGTGTCTTTGTTAGTACATTTCATATCTATCGTGGAGGTGCATAGATCCTGTTTTGCATATGCGGCGTTTGGTCAATGGGACCTTTTTCCTTACGATGCTAGAGGCTCTGATATCTTACTACATGCAATCTTGTCGACCAAGGCTGGCCTTGAGCTTGATCAGTGCGGCCAACTGAACCGTAATGAATAATGTGCATGCATGCATATGTCTATTTTGTTATATGTCATATTGTGCCATTTCTAGTTCTTGCTCTACAATGGCCCACACACGGCGAATCACTGCAATCTTCACTCTCCAACAACCTTTCCGTCTTCCTTCCCACCTTCAATAGCCGCTCCGCCCTTGAACTTGAATCTCTTCAATCCCCGCACACCGACATGTATCTTGAAACAGCTGCCCGCGTGCTCGTCAACAGGGCCTCCGTTCTCTCCACTCGTACCACCGGAGCTAGTGATGAAGAGCTCTTCGCCAACGAAGCAAGGGCATGTTGGCTGGCTAGTAGGCACCTTGATCTCGGCAACAATCTCACCTTGAGGCGAGATACGTAGTACATGCCATCCACCATGAAGAGCAGTCCACATGTAGCCCTCCTCATCAATGCAGTGACCATCGGGCACGGCATCCTTGCCATACCGGTTATCCTCCGGCATGGTAAAGAAGGGGCGCTTGTTACTAATCTCACCCGTCTTTGGGTCGAAATTGAACTGGAAGATAGTTTTCGTTGGACTGTCAGCAAAGAACATGGTATCGTCGTTCTTGTTCCATGTCGTGCCATTTGGAATCGTGATATCGCTCATGGGTCGATCAAGACTCAGATCGGGGTTGAGGCGGAAAACAGCACCGTCCTCTCTCCACTTAGAGACCATGGGATCGAACATGAAGCCCGCCCAGAAGCGGCCTGCTGAATCAACAGCGCCGTCGTTGCCGCGGAAATCTTCGTGCTTGTTGGCTGATATCTCGGGCTCGGACCAGACTTTCTTGATCCAGCGGTATTCGCCGGTTTGCTTGTTGGCAATACCGAAGCCATACTTGCCGCCAAAGATGAATTCCTTTTCGTTGCCTTCGATGTCGGCGGTGCAGCCCATGGAGATGTCGTAGTCTTTGATGGTCGTCAGGCTAGAGGGGCCTTTAGACATGTCTACGCGGAGTAGCTTCTTCTTTTCAATGTCGAGAAAGCGGATTGTGTTTGTCTCTTCTTCCCAGAAAGGACCTTCTCCTAGTGAGTAGTATGTCTTGAGCCATGGCTGGGAGATGGTCAGTAAATGTACGTTCCTATGAAACAGAAATAAGTTCGCTCTTTTGTGTCGAAAATGCGACCGTCTGATAAGTAACTGACCAAACATTGAAGCTGGCTGTCACGATGCTTAAGATGCGGTTGTATGACCTCAGCGGGGCTAGGCCATCAAGTACCCCTCTGACGCCACCCTGAAGAAGCTACAACAACGAATGCAGGTCGACATACCTCTGTAATTTCATACTTCTTGATTTCCGACATTTCTGTAGAGGTATTCGCAATCTTGTTCAGGGTGGGAGTGTCGCTTTCTTCGTCCTTTTGTTGGTCGCCAGTTTGTTGATGTTGTTGTAGTGTGTTGTTGCTTCCCGAAGCGCCCGTCACGGCGGCCCTCATCGAGGACCACAATTTGGATAGCGTCGCTCCCATTTCCCGTTATGACGTCCCGATGAGCCGCCAATGATGCTAGAAATGCCCGTTTTTCGTCTCCACTATCTTGCCTTCCGCGTCCAACCTTCCTTTAGCCCAGCGAACACGCAACGTATCTTCCTGCGATTTAATCACTACGGAGAATTGGAAAACTAGGAATATGGTTTTCGAGGTGAACTAAACAAGAGATGTTTCTGAAAATCACGGACGCATCAAATACATATGTTTTCCAGGAGCGACGTTTCTTGCTGGGCTGCAAGGTTTACTGCCGTTCGTGCGGTTACCACAGGCGCGCCCTGACCACAGCTGCACATCTCAGCAAGAGCACCGTCTGGCAGGATAGGTACACAAGCAGTATAGTGAGCGGTATTACTGATGAAATGTCGCGTTGATGAGGCGACGATGATGAGGATTTGCCGGCTAAACGGTCCGCCAACGCCTACAAGAAGAAGGCACGTTTAACGATAGAGCGGGAATGTTGTATCTTTGTTCCGGCTGAACAGGGCTAATCTAGAGACGCAGGTAGCTTTGTCACGGGCCTCTGAAAAATCGTGCGAAATTTCCAATTGATTGCAGAGGACGACTTGGGTTGGTTTTTGATAACAAGCTGCTTATAGGTGATCTGGCCTTTTTGGCGACTTCGAACCCCTCGCACTCGTCGCTGTTTTGAAGGTTTCTGTTGGCACTGCGCGGGAGCCTGCATGATCTTCCGCCTACAGAGAGTCCGTCAGCATCAATCTAAAGACGTTGTCTTCCGCACCTGGCCGTCCGGATAGCAGCTCATACATACTGGCAAAACTCTGGCACGTTGAAGTATCGGAGATGGCTTCTAAAGACGACACACTTGACATGCGTGTGTATTTCGACCTAGCCAATAGTATCAATACCCCTAACGCTCACCTGAGATTGAGGGTTGTCCACTCAGCCATAGAGGCACAAGTCACATCGTGGTGCATGCATGGACCGAAAACCACCAGTTATTTGTTATCGGTACACACCTTATTCTTCCGTTTCGAACTCATCTCACCAGAGGGAGCTATCGTCCTAAAGTACTCCACTTGGTGAAACAATGTTCTCGCTGATTGGTTGACCGCAGCCTTTTGCTGCAAACTAGCCGACGTCTCTGAATTTACCAGCTTCTGGGGATTTTGATATGTGTCGGTCCGTCTGGTCCTTCCTGAAGTTTTTTGTCGACACGTAAGGCATCTATAGTCTTATTTGGCAGCAGCGTCAGATTGAGAGAGGTTCCTCAACGACCTCGTCTACTCGTCCTTCGTCGCTAGAACCCTCTTTGCGAGTGAAGTCTCTATTGAAAACTTTGATGTATCGTTCCTGCATGTCTGGTTCAGGGTACAATTCCAGGAGTGGACGCTACCTGGATTCGATGGTGTAAGGGAGTGCTTCTCAAAAGGTTTGGTAATCAGAATACTCCGCATATTCGAAACATGCTTCTTAGGCATGTTTAATCCAGTCTTCTCCCAGCAATGATGGCTCAGGCTTTGTTCCAATGCCGTTTGGGCTGCCATGGCCCTCGTGATACACGACAGAACTTCTTGAAGCGATATTAGCTGTTAGGCACCTGGATCTTTGCCCTGTGCCTGACACCTTCTCATACGCATTCAGACCTTGGAGATCCTCTATCGGTGCGCCACTACCTTGAAGGAAGAAAACTGAACATCTCTTTAGAGGAAAGTACTTATACCTACTACAATAAAGCGTGTTAAAACCTTTCTAGATATAGATAGAGAATCTAGAAGTCTACAATGCTATTAATCTTTCTAGAATTTCTTCTTAGAAGCTAACGTAGGCGGTAAACTAGGACTTGTTATCTCTATACCCATTCGAGTTTTCTATTGTATAGGGTGGCGCTGTAGTAGTACTTCTCGAGAGTTCGATGGATTTGCTAGCCTCAGTACAGTTGCCATAATGAATGAACCAAGGGTTTTCAGGCTGCTAGTCCTCTGTGTATCTGATGCGTTGAGACTAGGCCGGTTTACATCTTCCAACAGCGTTTCTGGTCATGAAGAGGGTGAATCACGACGACCATCGCAAGACTGCGGCATGGGCGGCGGACTTGTAGTTGATCTGACCTTAAGCAGCTTCTCATCTTATATCTAACAGTATCACGCGTCTCTGGGCCTCTGGAGTACACCCTATGATCTACTGTGATATCTCACTTGGGCCTATACGTATAGAGAGAGCATATCTCTATACAGAATTGCTGGAGCCGGGTGCGCTTCACAATCTGTTGCTTCTAACCTCGCGACATCACTGGAGCAGAAAGAAGAACAGCTCGATACACTGCATGGTCACAACCACACCAGCTCTGATAGTAGTCGGAAGACTTCTGCATCGAATCATCGCGTGAAGTGCTTGAGGTTTGGGTCTGCTCATATAATTTATGATTGGTGAGTACACTCATTATGCCAATGTCCATCTAGGTAACATTGGTGACTCTCGGCACCATGAGCGCGATGGAATTTTCTACGACATTTCATGCAGATAGACCCCCTTGTAATTGACACCACTCAATTGCGGGTGCACTAGGTCTAAGTGAGGAAGTAGTTAACGACAATGGTGAAGAACAACTGTCGCTAACCCCTGCAATCTTGCTAGGACAAAGATCGACTAACAAAGACAACAGCGGACAATGTGTACTGCACGATCACGACTTGCGCCTACCTGTATGATCATGGATGCAGCAGCAGTCCGGGTTCAGAGCGGCGGTGAGCTCAATAAGACTATTGGAGGTCAACATGGTGGTCACCCTCAACGTAAGGTTCTAATTACTGAACTTCGCAGCAGACATAATAGATGGAATTGTCCCATTAGTGAGAGGTGCTACCAGAGCGGTTGCAGTCTCCCGATTTCCAGGGTCATGGACATATTGCAGACTACCACTTAGGTGATCCTGCTAGGATTAATACATTGTACAAGCGAAGACGCCTTCCAGTCTAGTTAAGTGACACATTTTTGCACGCCATTCTACGGTTCAACGATGATGTTACAGCCACAGTATAACCGAGGAGTACATCAATGCCACTGTGAGTGTATGACCTACGCTGTACTTACCGCAACTTGGAACACTTGCAACCCGTTACTCAGAATCTACACGTGTGCGGCGTAGTCCTGCTGATCTCTTGTTCGCACCTTTCCTATCGGGGTCTCAGGTCGGCGACTAAACATGGTATAAGGCTCACCACACGTCCCGGCGCACGCAATCGATCGAGAGGACGATACCCTGCGGCTTCTGTTGCGTGCGAGCTACATGCTCAGGATTCTGCACGTTGCTTCAATCAGTGGCCAACTGCGCGTCCGAGGCGTAGAAGGGTTGGAGGGAGTTGGACATGAGAAGTGATGTAAAGCGCGTGTCTATGCACACCATGCTACGTCTAATTTGCTGGTTCTTCGAAGGCGGAAATATGGGATCATTTTGGAGCGGCAACTAAGCAGTGCACCTCTCCTTGCTTAAGGAAGTGGGGATACGCAATGCGGCACAGTTCGGGTATTGAAGCCGGCCGATATCCTTCTCGAATGTGTTGGCGAATCCGCGATATAAGATTGCATCTCAAGCAACCGAAGATGTGGATCTTCGCTACGGTGAGTCATGACCTTCGGTGATGATTCGCGTTGTCCTGGCCGAAGCGCATCCTTCTGTCGCGTATGTAGCGTGTATACTTCTGAATTGGGAGTGAAGCGAGTGAAGCACACGCGTGATAACGAGAACAAAAGGTTTCAGGAGGCATACACAATGTCATAGTGACTTGGTTGAACGTCGTTCCGAAGATCTTGGAGAGGAATGTGGCACATGTCCATTTGCAGTAGGTTTGGGCTGTAGTATGCGAGTATGGTGACGAGATACTGTCCATCGAGCATGAGCACGTTACCGAAGAGTGTGATGGACTCATATGTTTCATATCATATTTCAAGAAGGATGTGAAGACGCCGAACTTCATATCCATGCCGAAGACGTGAGGGGACTGCTTTTAGGTAGACCAGGATGTTTTCTATGTATCATTATGGGAAGTCGTATCTGAAATCCATGGCCGTGTCGTCATTCTTTTCAAGCTATCTCACAAAGCTGAGTTGGTTTGAAGAGAGAGAAAGTACATCCAACTGAACGACTGAGAATCTGATCAAGGTTTGCATAAACTTGTGGTCAACGTTGAAAGTTTGTTGTTGAGGTTCCAAGTCAATAGTACTACAGTCACGGTACAAGTCAACAAGCGCTGACTCAGAACTGGTCAGACTTATCAAGCGGTGGCAGAATGGGCGGTAGGGTTTCGGGGGTAAGATAGTTTTGACAAAGGGTTCTCGGTTATTTCTATTCGCCTTCCATGCGTGTAAGAGGATATACAGGCATGGTATGCGAGCAAAGAAAAAGAAAATAATTCGATCGTCCTGTGGGTGCTTGTCGAACAAAGGACAACTGGATCTGGGAGGGGTATTACCGTACGCTTGGAGACGCAATATTGGTGAGAAGGGCCGAAAGATCACCGCCGACAGATTGGTAGTGAGCAGGGTAGTGAGACTGACAGTCGGCCTGACTACGGTTGTCCGGAACTTTTATGCAGCTTCTAGCGTTTTTTGACATGCTAAAAAGGTATGCTGATCTACTAATGTCCATCGAGTAACCCGCATGTGTGGAGTTCATTCCGTGTAAATCGTATCGTACCATTGGGTTGAAGTTCCTCCGTATGTAATGGACGATGAGCAGATGTTTTGACAAACATGATTATTGTGGGGGTAGTTCCTCTTCTTCAAAAGCCAGATGATGCCATATAAGTGACACTCGTCGATTCGTTTGGCCAGCAAGAGGGAAAAGACCCATCTAT